CTGTGGCTTGTCTCCCCCATGAGCCACGAGAGTGTTATGGGACCCCTGAGGGATTCTTGGTTATTCCACTGAAAGCCTTGCAGGAGTAATGCTAACTGCCAAAGAATCTGTTGAACTTGGATGGTATTACTCTAGCCTGCTCTTTTTCTCATGATGCAGTCTTAGCAGATAAGGAGAGTTTAATCTGATACCACATTCTTTCTCATTTGCCTAGATTCTTATTCAGAGAGTTCAAAAACAAAGGTACAGTTTTATAGAGGAGACGATGAAGAAAACGGTCCTGGAGCAACTCAAGGTAATGATCATACAAAGAAAGAGATCCCAGATCAGTTTTTAATTCCAAAATTTTCATTATTAGTGATTAAAACTTTTTCATTGCTTCACTCCATGTGCTAGTGATGTTTTGATGTGAATCAAAATTTTCTTTTTAACTCTTGTGGTGGAAGAATGTCATACAATCTCATATACAAGTGCTAGTTTTCTCTTCTATATGAGGAGTTTGAAATAGACGTTTGCTGATACTGTTGCACACTCCACAGGATCCAGTCACGTGAATCCAACAATTTGATAACTGCGTCTCCCAGAAATTTCAACTGTAATAGCTTGTAAACTATTGCTTTATTTCTGAGAAAAATGAGGAGAATTAAGACAGAGGAAAGACATGCTCCAAATAAGAACACTGGCATACAATTTGAATAGGTTAGGAAATTTTAATCCAAGAGGTCTGAAGAAAATGCAGATTCCCAGCTGCAGGGTTTTGGTTTGGTTTGGGTTTTTTTTAAATTTGAAATAGCTGAAGGAGAGCAAGAGTTTGAAAAAGAGCTGAAATTTTCTAGAACTGATCAAAAAGCTCCTTTAGCTGCTACCTGGTCTCCAAGAGATCAACTTCAAAAGGCACAAGCAGTTTTGGACCTCAGTTGCCCATACATCAGACTCTGCTGCATCATGTCCTTAATTTTATTGTCCATTGCTTTTTTAATACTGATTTTTTTTAGTTAAAAATAAATTAAAAGCTTTTTCTTACTTGTTTTGAAATGCTTATAAAGATGATAATTATTCCAAATAAGATCTCTTTTTCTTATTCAGATTGAGTATTGATTGTTACATAAAAAGTAAAACAGGAGGGCTTTAATTTATTTTCATGTTTATACACATATTATTTGTAAGTATATGTATATACCATAAAACTGTGAAAACTAACGTTCTCTGAGGGATGGATTCCAGTTAAGTACAGACATGTCAGTATTAAAGCCTTGTATTGCTGGATCATCAGCTACTGCTTTCTCTAGTGGAAGAACTCTCCTTGTTACAGCTAACACCTGTACTGTTCCAGAGATCTTTCCACTGCCTGAAAATGCCCTGGAAAATGACTATGATGATGCGACAGAAGCTCCTGGACCTAAAGATGCTTCTCTTTACGGGCAGAATGAACAGGAAATCATTGGGAACCCTGGAGAAAGTGACAGAAACAAGGACTCACAGACAGGTGAGGCTAGAAGAGCAATGCTGTTAGTTTTCGTAATCTATAATTACTGTATTGAACTCAAAGATAATCAAGGTGGAAGGTACCTCAAGGGATCAGCTAGGTTTTATCTAACCACTATCAGGAAAAACTGCCTTTACTAGAAGTGTTTAAAGTCAGATCAGTAATCTGTTTTCTGGAAACAGCTAGCTTGATCTTTGGATATGTGTGCATGTTATCAGAAGGCAGAATGACATAAGCATTTCTCGGGTCTTTCACAGCACTCATATCTAAGGTTCTGATTTCTAGAGGAGACAAATGACAGCTGCGCAACCATATAAATGGGTTTATACAATACAGAGTGTGCATTTATCTGTCTCAAGTGTTCTTCCCTTCATGTTTTCAGACTGGAGTCCTAGTATGTTCCGAAACAGGACCCCTGAAGCTGAGAGATCTTCATCCCCCGCTCTTGAAGATACAGGCTATGATGACATTGAAGAGCTGGGATGCTGATAGAGACTGCTGAGCTGTACTGACCACTTTTGGAAATAAAACTCTGTTCATAAAATGCTAATTCATTACTAGCAGAACCAGAACTACCTACACTTAGGATTAGTTTACATAAATTTGGATTATTTGTAGAGAAGTGATTACATACTTATAAGATAAACAAACACGACTTTTAAGAAAATCTTTCAAATTTCCCTTATAATTTCTTGTTGCCAAGACTGCCTATATGCTTTTTGCTTTTATTTCTAAATATTGTAGTTGCAATTATTTTTCTACTGAGTTAATCTGTTAAATTATGATATTTTCTTATTAGAAACTGTTCAAAGATCTCTTCTCAAATTTATGCTTTTCCTCTCAGATACATGGGACACCTTTCTGGGGATTATTATGAATGGAGAATGAACTGCAAGAAAATAATCAAAATTCTGTTTCATCCAAGTCTTTGAAAAAGGAATTCTTGCTGATTGCTTCTGCAACACCATCAACAAGGCCTGACAGGCATGCTGTGAGAGATGGAAGGAGAGAAACGCATACATCCATGTGATTTAACTGCATCATGCTATCTACTTTCCTGACTCACTAACAGAAAAACTGGGAAAGTAGAAATAGAGAGTGTTTGGAAGGAACAGGAAAAGGCAGCAGAAACTGACAGGGGCAACCAATTCTATGGCAGAAAAAGGTGTGGCAGAAATTTTATCCCTGTCAGAACTGTCTACACAGGATAGAATTTCTCCTCTCTGGTGGCACCAGGCAGTGACCAGGAAGAAGGAAACCCTGGAGCCTCAGAGATGGCAACAACTGATGTCATCAACATGATCCATTTAAGCTGAGTATTCCCCAGGTGACTGGGGTATATAATCCTCACTGGGATGAGTGGACTGATATTGGGAATGTGCTCACGGTGTTAAAATTTGTAGCCAAACTCTTACAACATTATGGCTGCACCTAAATGGGACCCGCACAAGGTCAGTTTTGGGATAATTGGAGTAATTGTATTGAAAGCATATTAACAGAACACAAGATCAACAAAAGATGTAAAGTGGCTTAACTGTGGGATCTATCAAGCAAAATTCTTATTTTGGGGGATGAAAACAGACGCACACAGAATTATGTATAAGTAACAGGTCACTTCAATTTATTAAATCAGAAACAATGAATCATTCATTGAGGCTAAAAAGCAGGATGAAAACCAAGAGAATCAGACTAACACCAAGCTCATTACAAATCTATCTTTAAAGTTTTTTAAAAAATCAGGTACAAAAGGAAATTGTTGTTTGTGAGTGGAGTTACAGGTAGCACTGCTTGTTGCAGTCTGTGTAGCCAGCTGTGTTAGTGTCCTGTGTGTATGTACCTATGAATCTCTCTGGGACAGACACTCGGGCTCTCTACTGGCTGAACTGGCACATGGGAAAGCAGTAGTCACATCCATAGGCTCCAGTGGCCCGGAAAAAGGAAACCCCAGAAGTTCAGAGGATGTCTGAGGCAGTGACTTATAGCATCCGTTAAATTCACACTCAGCAGTGTTTTTGACCCCTTGAGGATTTTCCTTTCGAAAGGCACTACTAATTCTTCCAAATAGATTTTTTTTTTTATTCAGTCGTTCATTAATTCCTTTTTCCCACTATGTCTACCAATATGCCTGGTAAAGACGTCACACTGGTGTTTCCCAGCTCTCTCCCAAATCCTGTACTCGCATGTTAAAAAAAAGATTTCAGCAACTGTCGGTAGTTCGTGTTTTTCATCCGTAAAAGTTACTCTTAGTTCAGAAAGCTGCTTTGTTGACAATTGAGATTACAGCCAGATGAATAATGAGGAGCACGTGACAGGATGCAGGGGGAAGCGTCTGGGCATTGCACGTAACTTCTTGTAGGATGGTTAGGGGAGGAACTAAAGCTGGGGGAAAGGGAAGGGTTTAGCTGAATGGAGGAGGAACAAGTATGGGAAAATCGAGGGTAGGGAGACAGAAGGGCCGGTTGCACGTAAAGCGTTTGCTGATCCGGCAGGGAAGCCGTGCTCCCGGGAAAACATGCTGCACTGCTCCGCTGAGTCAGCTCCCAGGTTCCCTCCTCGGGAGCCTCCACTCCCCCGGCCTCGCCATGGAGAAGGACTCAGGCTCCCTCCCGGTCCCCCGCGAAGCCGC